TCACCCGACTCACTTTCCTTCTTTACTCGGGGAAGCATAAATAATGGACACACCAACAAGTGTGGACTGCAGAGGAATTGCGAACTGAGATTGAGATAACAATTTTCATCTCCACTCAATCATATTTGGCGTGCTCAGCCACGCATACGGTGCATCCATACAAAATGTGTGAGCTAATACGGAAAGGCTGAGTAAATCAATCCATCATCATCCGTTTTTCCCATTTGTTCTTCTTTTACTCGTCTATGCTTTCCACGCTGCGCTCATATAAATGTGCCAGAAGCCAACGGATTCTGATTCACACATCTTCAGTACCACTACAAAAATTTCTATATCATTTACCTCCTACTCGCTTACGAATAGCGAACAGTGATAGCAAAGTACCTGCGCTATTTGACCCAGCGCAATGATGCTGTATCTTACCGTGGTGCAATGGCTCCTGTGCCTCAGTGATCCATGGAGCTGTGCTGGGTGGTGCATTTTCACCCTCAGATGCAAGCATCCCAGATTGGTCTATGGTTCGAGGCCAGACAGAATAGGTCCCTTGGTCTTTCAAGTTAGGGTTGGAATGAGGGTGTGTCCTTTTTCCTTTCAACTGACTCCTTGTAGCCCGAAGCCAAACCCGCTGCATGCAATCAGGTTTTGAACGAAAGGCTTTGGTTGAGAACCCTAATCGTTCTCCTGTCTAGGCTAGGTAAACCTGAGAGTATCCCGCCCACGCGATACTACATATTTCTATTATAACAGATTCACAATGTACACACCACTGAAGAGGATAATCGACGGTGCCCTATCTACTGCATCGAGCAGGGTGGATAGGGGTTTGGATGCTACTGCTCAAGACTCCAAATCTTCTTACCCGAATCTTACCCATTTTCACCCTTATCGTCCCGTTCCAACTTCACTTTTATCCCCCAGTTTGCAACCGCCCAATTCTCTGCCCTCCCCCACCTTGGTTCGCTAGGCTTTTATCTTCTAGTTTCAACTCACAAGGGAACGCGGTCTGTTATTACTGTTCTGCCGACTAGCCCAATTCATCGACTTCCATTTGGAGCCCTAGATCATAATTCAGATTGGCATGCATTAAATTCGGTCAACAGGCAGCACTTGCCCGAACATTAGAGACCCTCTCAATTTATACCTGCTGCATATCGGACATCCGCCTGCAAGGCTTGAGCTCTGTGCTCATTCTGCCAACCCCATTCAGGTGAAAGCAAATTCTCATTGCGCATATCCGATGGCGATGCAGTTTTGAGCACCGGCCAAGCCTGTGTTGTGTTTGCCCTGAGTCCCAGTGCTAAAGCTACTCTGGTTGATTGGATCCCAATCAGTAGCCGGACATGTGCGGTCCGATTGGCTGCCTCGTTCCAATCTTCGAAGTCGCGTAGGAGTAAAACGTGTCTGTTCGTTATCGCTGCCTATGGAACGACAAACTGTAGCGATGATTCGGTATTGAAAGAGGAGCTCAATGAATAGGTGAGCGTCAGCACAATAGCTTGATGGCTGCAGGGTCTCCTCGTTAAGATGAAAAACCCACACGCTATACTGCAGTTAATGAGTATGTTTCTGCAGAACAGACGAAGGTAGTCTTAAGTTTTGCAGCTGATAATTTTGAATGCTGGAGGCGGGCAACCAGTTTGGATTGCTGAGGCATATTTGAAGCTGTTTTGCCCTCGCACAAGGGGGCGTTCAGCACGTGGCACACGTGCGCAATGCACCGGAACGAGCACTCGTGACAAAAATTTCCACCTTATCGGCGCAATGACTGTAGATGGACTATTTAAATATTCCGTCTTAAGGGTAAATTACAACAGGGGACGATTTGCGCGGTGTTTGCGGAAAGTGCTTGATGCCAACAGCACGCTGTTACTGATACGTGTCTGCTGATATGTAGCAACGCACTATGCCACACTGCTCTGGAACGTGTGTTCCCAGAGGGCCGTTTCCAATCAAGGCGACTGCTGCGCCTCGCACCATCTTTGGCGGTTGGAGTATTTTCATGAGAATCTTAAAAATCCTCGCCGAATTCCGTATTCCAAGATGTTTAGATGAGATCCAGTTGGTGCGCTTAGTAAAAGCGAATAGAGGATCTAGTTCTTTGAGAATACTGTATACGGAGCGCGAGCCAGCTAACGCAGCACGATTGTTAACAAATACTGAAACATGTCAGTGCAAATGCGTGCGTTCAATACGCCTAATGGATCTGTAAATCTCTATCATGTCACTGATATGGTGTTTTGATCTTTCACCAATATTTTTGCTTTAAAGCCACACAATATTTGCCTGTGCAATATAGCTCTTCAATTTGGGCAACATACTTTGGGACATACATTCGGCAACCGTAACCTCGGTATTTATATTGTACTGTGCTTGACTTCACCAATACGGCTGTCATATCGACTGCCAATAAATCATAGCAAATACTATGGCATCTGTACTGCTCGCGATCTTAGTGGATTACGCGTTTTCGTGTGCTAAGGCGAGGAACAGGTTGTCTTCGATGTCGCGGAAAATTCATCAGGTAGGCGCAGCTGCTGTGGGTAGGAGCTGGGACGTTATTTCCATGAAGTATGTGTTTGTGTTGCGAAACACAAAAAATTATTTAGAATTCATCACAAGAGCTAATCAGAGAAGGAGCAGTAAATAGTTATTCTCCAGGTTCAAACACAACCTAAGCATACTACCTATAGCAAGCACGGTGCGGTTGTGTAATTGTAGAGTACGGACTCACATCTCCAACAAGCTCGCATAGGCGCTGCTCCAGTCCGCTGTGTGCAAACCTCACCAGCATAATTTAATTGCATACAGAACAGAACACGCAGTGTCACTAACCCGTTACCCGGTTCCCAGTTACAGCAGTGTCTTCCCATAATGTCATTCCCGCACATATAGCGCATTGCAGTTTAATTGTCAATGGAGTCTTCCTCCTTCAAACCGATGATTCCTTACACTCAGTAGTTTTAAACAGGTAACTCGGCGGCACCAAATCTCATGTGACGCCTTCGGTCGCTTCGAACAATCAAGTGTATAGTGGACGTTATCGGCATCTGCAATGTGATCGCATTATTTTGTACCAGACGCTAAATTACCCCAACTATGAGGAGGCTTTTACCGTTTATCTTTGCAGTCACTTTTATCAGGCGATGCCTAACAGAAGGTTTGTTATAAAGAGTGAGAAGTATAGGCGTAAAAGTATTTTATCGAAAGTTGCACATTGAAGATAATCCAAAGCCCCTGACCATCGGTCAATCGGCAATAGCACGTGCGTTCAAAAACCTAAATCCTGAAAACCTTCCAGTAACCTGGAAATCAAACCGATCTACGTGGATCACTGCTGCCACAGTTAGGGAGTGGATCAGAAATATAGAAAAGAAAATGATGAAGAAAAAACCGTGGGCAGCTGTCCGAGTCACGCAAAGGTCAAAGTCCCACAAATATTACACGTAAGTTTCTGTCTCCAAATATGACCTCGCGGATACACAATCTGTAGCAACTGATCATGGAAATATTCAAAATGCACTTCCGTTCCAAGCTCATGCAATTTGATATGGCTAAATTGCATACTAGGGATACTCATGTGAAGGGAACTTCATCGATTGCTTCAGTTAATGCCTTGGATGCTGTGTTTCGGATATGTTCCGCTTGGTTCAAATTTCAAGCAGAAATAAGACGTGTTTCAGCAAAGCTAGAATTCTTATGAAGCTCAAGTAAGGTACGTCGTCTAATTGGACATTCCATCTCTTTGGGCAGAATTCGACGGAGGAAATATACAGAGTTTATTGAAAAGAATGATGATTTGGTAACATGCGCTGATCCAGATTCAGATGTGATTTTCCAAGTGACGCGGAAAACTGTACACCCCTACGGTAAGAAAGAAATACGCCAGATTAAGATGATAATAAATCCAAAGCGGCATTTACGATGATTTTGAAATTACAGAAATATAAAAAGGAAAATGAATTCAGACACGTTTTAACGCAACTGAAATCATTTGCTGCAGAAATACAGCAAGGCATGATGCGCAGTGAGGTTTGTGCTGGGAACGCTTTTCATAGATCGACTTTTGTTTAATAAATGCTTTAACTTCGAAATGCGCACTGCGTTGGGGTTTTCATAATACCTCATTGTTAAACTGCATTTGCCGTTACATGAAACCTTGTCTAATGTGACTGAAGGCGGTTTATTAATAAAGCTTTTGCATAATATACTACGGTAAACTACGGTACGGTAAAGTAGGTACATGCTAACGCTTGGGCTTGAACCTCCGTATATTTTAAAACTATGTTGACCACTTTGTCGTCCAATGATTGGTCAAATCACAGAGGTTTCACTGTAATCAAAGTGTAAACGTCCGAACAATAATGCTGACATCAGAATAGGGATGCTTTCTCCATATCAGGCAACTGCAAATGCGACCATGCTGTTACCAGTCACAAATTGTTTAGCCGGGCAATGGAATACTACGGCTAGTTTACCTGAACATTTGTCATATAATTCTATTAGAGATTCCAAGTGCAAACATGAATTATTCGCTGGATGAGTCATCTTCTTCTAAGTGGATGGCGGCATGCAACCCCAATCAGGAACATGATTCGCGTAAAGTGGATTCCATACAATGGATCGGAAAACCACCTATGAAACAGACGAATGCTACATGTTGCGTCTCCGCAGCCGGGCAATAAACTTTATCGAAATCTATATCTATCTATCTACCTACGTACTAGTTACGCTAAACTGGTAGATACAGCAAGACTGGCATTCGAACGCTGGACGTCATTTGTTATCCAAAGCCCGCAACATGCTGCCACCTAGTCAATGGAGGGTAACTTTTGTCACAATGGTTAGCCATAATTTATGGAAGACATTTCGAGATATTTCTTTGACAACACATTCCAAAGCTGTTCAACTGTCATACACCTTTGACAATTTAGAATCATCCCTCCGTCGAACCCAACATTATCACATTTAAATCTGGCTTACCGTTCACGTAACAAGCGTTTTTATATTTCTTCAAGTGTATGGTGTCCAGTTTGACGTCCAATAGTCCGCGAGTCTGAAGCCTGAAAATAAGTACACAGATTTCAGAATCGCAATCACGATGAACCAATGCTACAAATGCCACTAAAATAAAATAGCGTTCAATTCCATCTTCACATTGCTTACTTCGGTCCACGGTTCCGGTGTATTGAATACACACTGGACTACGTTGCACAGTGCATGACAGAAAGCTGGCTGAAAAGAGCAGCAGTTGATAACGCTTATCGAATTTCACACAGAGAGCAGATTAAGGGAACGAATACGGAATACCCAGAATTCGTATTATACTCTTCGGCACTGTGTAAATCAATGCAGCAAGCTGTTGTATGCACGACATGCAGGCGCTTCAAGTGATTTACTAAAATGTTAACACGTACTACTAGATTACGGCTACTACGGTTATTTTTATTCTACTGCTAAGCACTCGCAAGGAAAAGGTAACGGGGCTAAGTGCAGAAAAGGAACATATTTCACTGTCGAATTTGGAGTATTAATCCTGTGGTTGGACTGCGACATGCAAAATCCATTGAGACTTTTGTGCACTTAGAAGCAAACATTGGTCAATCTGATTATAAGCATCGCATCGGAAATGCAGGAGCGTCCTCTAAACACCTGCATCTCAGATATGGCCTTTGTGAAATAAAGCTGTTTATGTGTTCTCTTTCATCAAGATGGACCGTGTGGTCGATGATATTGGACACCAAATCTGGTCCGACAAATCACCACTCTACATCACTGCGGAGTCAAGACTCATATACTGCAGAAAACATTGGCCTTCGTGTGTCCGATTAGTTCATCAGACGATTCCTCACCTCTTGTTGTTTCTCAGTTCATCTGCTTTTATGGCAACATTTTCACAGTCGGTGTTGTTCATAAATTATCTCACAGAAGGACGTTGGACACTTGCCAAAGTAGTTATGATAACTGACATCACAAAATATAGAAGCGGACATGAATATGAAGATAAGCGCCACATTATGCAACATCAAGTCGCTCGTAGTAACTAATCCTAGTGAGAAATCTTGGCCAACGTTCGATGTGCTTTTGCCCAGCAATACATCGATATTGTTGACAATGATTGAGGCTCTCCAAAATAACGCACATCAACTTGCGTTATGTGCACAGAAACATTAAAAGCAGTGGATTACCTTCTCTATGTATCGATTATCATACTCTGATGGGCTTTGCTAATGGTTCTATGTCTAAACTCTGAAATTGTTCCGCTTATATTCTGTTCGCGACTAGTAACAAGAGTCAAAACGCTGAGATATGGCGACCCATTTCTACGCAGTTCGATACCGCTGTTTCGTTACTACAACATATTCTAACTCTGATTGAGATAGTACTGCAGCAGTCTAACGTGGCAGAATTATAATAAATAATGGCGGGTGATAACAAATTCATTTGATTGTGAGTAAAATGATGCGGATGTTGCTATTAGCCACAAGATTTTTTATCTGTTAACTGTGAGAATATGCACTATGCGTATAAATAAGAGAACAGAACTCGCTGTGCACAAGTAAATACTTGCTCCAATGAAAGCGAAGAAAACCGTGGGAACCTGTGTTTCTAATGAGGAATATTCTTCCAAATTGAAAGGGGTTTGCTTCCGGTGGCACACCGCCTAATACGTACGAATGCTGTGTTTCCATATTGAAACTTCCAAAACTACGCCGAATAAAGCATATCAACTAGTGTATAGGAAACAAAGGGAATCGGCTCGGAAAACAATATGGCGTGGATAATACAGGTTCGGTAGCCAATTACTGCAATAAATTGCCAGCTTTAACCCCTAAATTTATTTAATGCTCTTTTGCACCAAAAACCTTATTGAAAGCTCAGCATTTTTCATTTAATTGGCAGACGGATGAGTGGTTACCGTTATAAATCTATTCTATTACAAGCATGTTTTGGCGCGCCAGTGCTATACAGATTATAACCAAAACGAAAACGAAAACGTTGAGTGGCAAACAGGCATCCCATTACAATATCATATTGGTGCCTATGGTAGAGCATGCATCCGCGGAGGTTTAAATCTTATATGGTTTTTACTCCACAATGCTTTTATCTGCTTCTCGAGTTTATTAAACTGCATCTGTTTCAAAAGCTTTGGAGAATGCGCAGTCTGAAATATTAGAAATGGATGATGATCAACAAGATAACCGGACTAAATATTACTTTGTAGACCCACATGCAACGGCTTGCAACTGGAACAGAGCTATCCACAGCAGAACTCACCATGCTTTCTAATGAATGTGGGTCCGTGATGCACTGGGCCAGTGTTTTCAAGAACGCATCAATTGCTGGCTGAAATGGCGAACAGTTTACGTGGTAAGAAAATGTTCTAGAATGTGTAAAGTTTTGTTCCGTCACCTGTGCCGACAATTGGTAATCCAATATAGGTAGCAACCAAGGAAATTGTAAAGTCAAACTAGCAGCTTGGCAAAACCAAATCCAATTTTTACTCTATGCTTAATGCCACACACACACACACACAGATTTATTTTGTGTGGAGTCGACCAATCTGCTTTATCAATATGGAGAATGTTCACTAATGATAGCACCCATATTCTTTTGCTAGATCACCTTTTACAAAAAAAACGGAAACCTAAATGGGACACGACGAAGCCAGGTGAGTTCTGAGAACTGCGCACCAAATACTGACTGCAGCTTCATGTCTGAATGTCACGATATTCTTGTTATCTTAATTATTCGGACCTCTATTATTCTAATTAACATGAGCTGACATTGTAGTCGCCTTAATGCGAATGACAAGCGGAAGATTTTCTATGAACTTTTGGACCTACAGGATTTAGTGTGAAAGGAGCGCTAATGAAAGTCCTCAGAAATTGGGTGCCAATGGTATTTGTATGCCCCTTAAACAGTTGTTAATTAACCCCGTAAGAAGGCTTACAGAATGAAATGCGCCACTAGACCCAACAAGCTTATCTGAAACGACTTTGAAACAGCAAATTAAATAACATTATGACATAAGCCATAAAATCACTAGATTGGTATTGTTCTCAGCTAGCTGGTGACGGAGATGAGAATTAAATTCCATTCAATCTCACGTTACTAACCTTGTTCACATTCCATAAAGCTTCTACTTGTTTCTCCACTGGCTCTAAAGATAGCTGATCCGTTCTTCCTTTTTCAGCGAATGAGGCATTCATTTGATCCCTCGATGTAACCTGATGGCACTTCTGCGTATAACAAAACGAGAGATTATATACATAGTGCGTAGAGACACGATAAGCCAATACACTGGGCCAACGCTGGCTGAACTGCGAAACCTACCAAAGCAGTCCGTGTTGTCTTGTTGGAGGTATTGCAGAAACACGCATGTACTTGACAGTGCGAATCCTAAAACGATAGGTTACATCGAACACGGTATAATACCTTTTTCTTTTGTACCTCTCTTTCAGATACTTTCGGTATGGCAATTTTCTTTCTGAATTGTTCTCGCAACTCACGTGTGCCGCCAACATATATCATACCACATTTGACTAGACAAATGGAAATGGTGTGGAAACAAGTGACTCACATGTAACAGAGATATTTGTTTCTCGTATTGCCTTACTGAATTCTGCTAGTGGATGAATGACAAACTTCATTCGATCGTTTGTCACAGTGGCTACGGAGAAATTAATTGCTAAGTCTATTGTAACCAAATATTCAAACATCCATACTTGCATCTTCGCCGGAGAGTATTTCCCGACGTTGGTTTACAACAATGTGTCCGGTCGTATACAGACTGCAAATTAGCTCCACGCTATCTGGTGCTGCAGCATCTGGTTTGTGCATCTGTTTCAGGACAAGAGGAAGTGATGCGCATAGCAAAGAACCTACGATTTGGTTTATCTTTGGACGTAGTTCATTACAAAATGTTCTCTTTTGTAGTAACATTTTATGCTTTAATTCTTCCAACTGATAGGTTGGAGAAAATGGTTCTACCGAAACTAATCTCAGTGTTAGCTGGTACAGATTGTTACCTGCGACATACACATTTCCATTCGGCAACTGTGCGTCCGAACCACTCAGGACATAGCCTCGCGTTGTCCGTGGGGAGGTAATTTTGATGCATGCTGTCGTGCTCCGAAGATTCACAAGGAAGGCTCCAAAAGTGATAGATCCATTGATCGAATCTACGGCAACCACAAATTGGAAGTTTGTGTTAGAGACATCGTAACTTATTCACACTAAGCTGGTGTTTGTCCTACTTACGAATTGTAAGCAATGCCACTTGCATAATAGAATTTGGTCTTTCTATGCTCTTAAGCGCTGCGAAAATAACACTTACTCTAGAGCAAGCAACACTACCCATAGCAACATTGCCTATATTTCGCACCAAATTGTCTCTTCGAATGCAGCTCGCACTATCTAAAGTTGGAATCCATCCAGAATGTGCACCACTGGTAAGTTGAAGCCGGTGCAATGCACTCTAATCGTACTCCGTTTATTACAACGAAGGCTGCGTGGTAAAATAAATGAGCCTGAAAGTCTCGATTTCTCAAGTGTAAATACACCCTATGCGATTGTTGAGGAAACCTTTGAATTATTGTAACTAATTTCGTACGAATCTAGTGAAGCGGTGAATATGGATAATGCGATTGACATGCTGGATCCTCCGTCGAAAAACCCACCTTTGTAGTGATTTGTAGACAGTCACTTTTAGGAGATGACCACTTGTTTTTATAATTTACAGAGCAATGCCAAACAAGTTAGGCGGCTCCTTGGCTCATTGCAAATAGCTGCTTCTACATGGTCAAGTGGATTGTGAAAACGCCATTTGGACATATTCCTAGACCTATCGCCTTTGTCAACCTTCGTGTAACATACCACACACGGTATCTTTTTCATATGATCAAATCATAACCTGTATGTGTGGGCTTAACAATAGATGCAGTCATGTTTGCAGTGTATACCAGATAAAAAACATAAGGGATAAACAGATATCCGGCTGAAAGTCAGCTAGTTTACTTGCCAGAAATAAAATTCAACTGCTCCAATGAAATTGTGTTTGCGTGAGATTTTATCAAATATGGACACGAAATCCGGCAAGGTCCAATATTCGGAAGCATTGCCGGGTAAACTTGTCCCCACATTTGATAAACTTGATTATGCATCGTCTAAAGTCAATAGCATGCAGTCCAGAGACGACTTCAATAAATTATTCTTGGTAGATCACGACTAGACATCGAACCAAATTACACAAGCCTATTCGAGTCAAAACGGTGAAAGCACAGCGGTCAATCCCTATGTGCAATATAATGTAGACTGTAAACCGCCGGATGCGTACGCTGAAATTGTCTAACTCGATCACGTCGATCACGTCCTTCTCAAGGGACCGCATCGGATTAATGAATGCAGACAAATCTGTGGAGCATCTATTAGCCAAAAAATTAAGTTTTCCAAATAGATCTAGAGAGTAAAACACTGATGAGAAGAAGTCAGTTTAACTTGCGAGCGGAAGTCAGATCCATATACTCACTTATCAGACAGCAGTGTTCCTTCAAATCAAATACCAAGATCTAATAAAAATATTGTTATTCAGTATTTCCTGGCAAGGAAGATGATCTGCACGTTTGCATGTGTTCCATAATTCGGTCCCTTTAATAGCTACTTTTCACACCTGTTCATTGTCCACTCCCTGTTTTACGTACCGGCATATCAATGTATGATAGAATACGCATCATAAAGCCCTTGGATGTAAGTCCCATAATCTGTACGTACCGAGCCCTCGAAATGTATGACTACCGATGTACTTTTGTACTCTGGACATGAAACCTGAGTTGCAACCATTTCATTAACAACCATGGTGGCACCTTGAATGTGAATCATCAAACAACCGAAAGACTTGTGCAACGACAAACAATAATGTCAACTATGGATTAAAGGGGATAGATCTTAAAATTATTATTCATTTTGTTCAAGCAGAAATATGAGTTTCTTATTTCCCTATATCCCCTAAATTATGCTTGTGTTCTTTGAAACGATTAATTATTGCACGTTTATATGATAGAAATCAGAAGAGAACTGTAAGTCCAAATGACCCCGACAATATCAATATCTACCAAAAAATTGACGAAGTTGATACGTAAGATAAGCAACCTTATCGGTTGAGTGAAGCTTCGGGTCATCTAGATACGCCTGTTCACATTCTCCTGCAAATCGGCATAGCATATTAAACCTTTTACTAACCATGGGTCTATGTCATATAATTTGAACCAGAAATAAGCATAAGAATAGTCTAAACCCACCTTCAAAGTAAAATACCTCTCCTGGATGAACCCAGATAAAATGATCCACGGCACCCATAGAACAAAGTAACACTGAGTCAGGAACCTGGGAGTTCCACAAATTTAGGGTAAAGCTGACCAATCGAAATAGGACAGGTTGAGAGCCCAGGAGCCGGGCATAATGTGGGGCATCCAGTCAACCCCGAGGCGCCTAATTAACCAATCATCACTTAGCAAGCTCCGGTAAAACTGGGACTGTTGCATCACCAAGTAGATAATTTCATTCATGGCAAATAAGGAAGAAAGTCATCCACCTGAATGATGGAAAAATGAGTGATGGAAGGTACAGAAAATAATGTCAAATTATAGAGATTTCTATGGTGTGGCGTTTCGTGTTGCCCGCCATAAACATACCTCGACAAGCGTAAAGTTTTTCTGTTCCAACCCTATCACAGTTCAGATTTGCAGCCGCTTTGGGTGAACGCTGTTGTTGTGCAACACTGAGTAGTTTTAGTGCATTCAAATTACCCACTAACGAACCCAGGGTTAGTGCTCATATCGCCATCATCCACGTTGCTGGTTGTAACCAGTAGAAAGGTCTGCGGGATAAGGTTACATTTATCCCAGACCACCGAAGTGGAAATTAATTTATCACATGCCACATGAAACGTGTCGCTTACCGAGATCGGGCATCGCATATCTATGGCCTTGGCTCGCATTGTTTGCTAACTTCCAAGCCATATGTTTGCATATGACTCAACGATAATTCAGTGATTT